CAAGGCCAAACAACCTCTATACGAGAAAAAGTTTTCATTTTTGGAAATGAGCATAGCAACCTAATCAGACATACCCTAAAACCGAAATCTATATGACGGCGAAAAAACACTTTTTATTGAGGCTTATAGGAGCTTCAGCTCATTGTCACAGAAATAGCAAATAATCCTTTCAGATAAGAGGATATACCAGAGACCCGGGTCCTTTGTATGTCAGACCAAGGGATTTGCGATCTTTGTCAACCCATTTCGCCACAAAACAGGGTGGACTCGAATGCAAGGCCTTCAGTGGGCCTACTAATAGTTGATGGCAAAGCAGAGGTCACGAAACTTGGTGGTTTTAGGTCGCTTTTTCGGAAATGCGGCTCCATCCTAGCCTTGCCAGATGACAGTGTCTCAAGATGGCCGGATCTGGAAGCACAGTTGTACTTTAATTACGAAGTAAAGCAAGAGCAATTTGAATGCAAAGAACAGTCGCATAATGCAACTTTAAAGGAGAATTCAAGTGGTGAATAACATATTCTCACGTCAAGCATGCTTCGAGATGCTGGAGGACAAAGTTGTCATGCTCAAAAGTGAAATATGAGTAAGAAATAGTTACATTAACACAGAGAATGTAAATACTGGTTGTTAAATTTCTCGAAGATAGAGTTGCAATCCATTCAGGCCGTGTAAACCGTGTGCTTCGAACTGTGATTTACCAGCACCGTCTCGACGGTATCCTCGATGGGGTCGGACTCAATTGAATAATCGTAGAACGGCAGAGCCACGATTAAAAAGACGAGAGCGAGGTAGATGGTGACAAGGAAGGCGTAGAAATTGCCCAACAGCTCCCGGCCGGCCAAGGCTGCGTAACTAAAGAGGGTAAAATAGGAAAACGAAGCTGTGCTGAAAGAATGGCCCATGAAAAAACTATTGGTAAATGGAGAAGACAGAAAAGAAAATTAATAATAAACCTTGTTACGTTTCGCTAGAAGCCTAATTGTTGACTCTGCCATTTACTGCTCAAGAGGAAAATATCAACAAAGTTATAATGCCTGATCTGGATGGTTGATACCGATCACATCGAAACTATGAGGTTCGTGAAGTTAGTCAATGTTGCAGTTCATGAGAGCGAGAGCTCTCTGCATGCCAATGAGTAGATTGCGGGGCAACGACAAATTGTGAATGACCTTTCAGGATGCGCTGCCTAAGCAAATTCCGTGCAAAGGTCAATCTTCAATGCGGTTGTCCATGACACACACACACATACAACATATTGTATGCTACATCGCAAGACTGAGAGTAAAAATGCCAATGGGCACAATGGGCTAAATAAGAATGAAAAAGTGAAATATATGTCCAATTTATGTAGAATTTGGAATTGTCTGATTTGTTGAATAGCTGGATCTCTTGGCACATTGAGATTGGAATTTTGTGGGAAAAATTCTTGAGATGGCCCCATTAAGCAACAAATGGAAATATTTTGACGATAAAGGGCCTTAGGTTTGTTACAGTATCTGTCGTTTCCTGAAGAGGCGTTGCACAAATTGTGGAAAATGGTTTTAACTACGATCACTGGCCGTGTCAGATGAGCGAGACATCCTGTTTTGTGAAGTCGAATGGTGGTGGGCCACATGTGCCATGAAGGTTAATTCACCTCGAAAAAGTTGGCTTCTAAAGCCGAGTAGAAAGCTCTTGCTTGATGGAGCAATGTTTACGGTGATGATACCATTTCGGGCCACTTATCGGGTGCATGATAGAGAATGGGTGGACGGAACGGTTGTA